AGGTCTTTTTTATTTGTAAAAGTGACTTATATATGTACTATCGGGTAAAACCCTTTTTCCAGAGCAACCACAGAATGTTCGCAAACTGCTTAAGGCGGTTAAGGCACCTTGGTTACAGCGCCGTCTATCATTATAAACAAATAAATAATTGGTGATTAATTATGACCACCAATCGAGCGACAAGTCGCCCAATGCGTTCGACGACAGCAGCAATAGAAGCGAGCAAAGGTTACAAAACGGGGCTTATCAGTGGCCGACGACAATTGTATTATCAAGACCCAGCAGACCGACCCAATAAAGCGGGAACCAATTGAATGTCATCCACTTCAAACATTTAGCGATTTATCCCCGAATAAGACTTATGTACAGAATGAATTAATGTCTTAAAGCAAAAAAGTTCGACTGGGAAATATTTATGGCCACAAAATCATTGCCAACACGTCATATTTCTGTATTGTGGTGCGGTTAAACCAAACAAAAACAATACAAAAATAGATAGAAAGATAGATAGATACGCAGAGGCGCTCATCATTAATATAAGATACTTTTCATGTTCTTCCCAAAGCAGAGAAAAAAAAACAGAGAGTGAGAGAGAACAAAAAATAACAATTAATTGTCTGCTTTTGTTTGTTATTCAAGATAGTTGCATTTGTATCTGTGAGATACTCTTCAGTGTGGTATTCGTGCAAATTCCAATTAACTTTTCGAAAACCATCGGATGGATAGCTCTGATCAGAGGCAATTAAATCAAATTATCTTCAATTATTTTTGCCATGCGGCAGTCCCAGTCCCAGAACTTCAGATCTATACTGTGTGCCGCGAATTTTGCATTATTTAAGCAGTTTTCTTTAAAATTCGCAAACAAAAATTATGACCAAAATTTATATAAAGAAACGCGAAACATTTTGCTATCAACAAATATGCGTCGTTTATTAATAGAATATTCAAGCGTCTAGACTCTACACTCAAGAGTGTGGAACAATCATAAAACATAAAAGTTTCATAACGATAGTGTGGGGAGATCCCAAATGACAGAACACAATCCATGGATCGTTGAATTTTAATCTCTGACAACTATCTTATGGCTCTGAAACGCACTGTACATGCTGCTGGCCAGTGACGTGCCTCTCACTGTTGAACTTGGAACACGTAGACGACGTCCACTGCGAGATAGTATGAGCAGCTTCTGCTTCTATAAGCATTGCCGGTACACATTCCAGAATGAAAATGAGGCAATGAAAATGCAACGAGAGCTTTAATCACGAGTACGAGTGAGCTTATAATAAGTTGCAACTTAAATGATGACACCGCAAAACAAACTGAATTTCTATCGGAAAAGTGATATCTTTTAGACCAAAATATCCCTCGAAAACGTATCGTAGGCGACAAGGAGAGTCAATGACTTGACATGAACTCGAAACATCGAAATCGGCAGGAAAACAACGCCCATTAAATGTCGACGCCGCCTTTGGCCATAAATAGGAACAACGCCCAAAATGCAAGGCAAGAAGCAGGCAGCAGACAGCAGTAGCAAAAGAGAGAGAGAGAGAGAGGACCAGTAGCGGCAGTTGTACTACGAGTATATACTATAATATCTTGTCAGACTGGTTGCAGCTTTGTTTGAAGACAACTTTGCCGGTGAATGGGCTGGCGAAATTGATTTTCTGAGTGCTCAATACCCAAGATGTGTAGTTTCAGAGGGTATATTGCATTTCTGTAGATGAGATAAGGTAGGAAAGGGCTACAGGAGCTGTAGTCAGCAACAGTTATATTGAGACCCTTCTGAGCACTTCTCTTCGAAGTAAAACTTAAGCTTGAAGCCTTCAAATGGTTCTTTTGCTTGCAAACTAATCCAATCTGTAATTAAAGGGTATCTACGAGTGCAAACTATACGAATTTCCGCACATAATTTAATTGCACAAGGTGAAAGATGTTTTTAGATACAAATCGGTTAGTTTAGGGGTTAATGGCAGAGTGAAGGAAAACTGAAAGCGCAATCTATTCAATTTCTTTTGAGATTTTATTCGTAAGCTATTCTAAAAATATCTTTGGAGAATTTCTAAGAACTGGAACCTGCTTTTAACTTGGAAATGCTTTACAGTTAATCAGAGTTCTTCTTATCGCTCAGCAAAAGTACAAAACAGTTGTAAGAAAATGACTGAGAACCTGGATTATTATGTGGTTACACAACCCACCAGACAGGCCCCACATTCATGCGTCCCATGCGTTCCATGGTGTGGGCTGCAAAGCAGGCGTTCAACGCTCGCCAGAACTTCCTACTTCCCCCCTCCCTATGGTACCGTTGTTTCGGGTTTTGGGTGCGCTTCTGCATTATTCATGAGCGCTTTGGCGCTCATGTCTCCTACAGTCAATCGCATTCGATTTGGGCTTTGGCCACAGCTCACGTATGTATGTACTTCTGATCTGACCCACATTCTGACTTTGGTGGGGGGAAATTATTCAATTTTCGGCAATGCGATGCAATGGGAAATGTGCTTCAATAAAAAAAAACTGGTTTCCATTTCCTAGAATTAAACCCATCTGCAATGGTTATATTTAAACCCATGGCTATTTTTAAAGCATAAGTACCAAAATACCATGTGTGTGTAAGTATGTGTGTTTTTATGAGTAATTTGAACAATTTCAAATGTATTTAACGCCTCGACTGCCGTTTTTTAAACAAAAGCCAGCAGCTGCTGGTCACGACAGACACCTTTTACCTTCAGAGTCTCGGGAGGAAGGAGGGAGGGCGATTTTATCGTGCAGCTTGTGCCCGTGCACTTGAAAACCGCTTGGGTCTGCACGTCGTCTGCACAAGTGTTTTTCAAAATTGTATAAAATGTTTCCGAAATTTATGTATGCGCAATCTTGTAAACAATTTTGCTTGCTTGTAGACATATTTTGTTTCTTTTTTGGGTATTACAAGCCCAAAGTTTCTATAAATAGACCTCTGGCTAGTGGGGAAACACTTTCACTTGTTGCTTTTGGGCTACTTCTTCTTGTCACTGTTTGTTTTGTTGTTGCTGTTTGCTGTCACCATTTCATTTCAATTTGCATGTTCTGCTTCTCCTTCTTTTTCTTCAGTCTGCTTCTTGCTGAACTTTTTAGCTTGCGGGTTCTGACCCTATGCCCCGTGTGTCGTAGGGTATATAGAGTCTATAACGACAGTTGCCTTTTCGAGGACACATTTGTGTCCATTGTTACTATATTCACCATTAAACATCTTTTAAAGCCATACAAAATGGTTCGGTTTGATCTACCATTAAGATTCAGATCCCTCATTATAATATTCCCACCTAAATTTTCCTTTACCAAGTATCAGCTATTCGAACTTCTTGAATATTTTTACACAACAGGTGTGTGTTTTTGATTGTGAGCGTGTGTGTGTGTATGTTTGCGATAATTTTTTGCAGGCCAAATAGAAAGTGCAAAGAAGTGGCTGCTGGCCACTATCGCCTCTCCCACTTCCTCTCCGATAATCGCTTGGTCGACACGACCATATACAAGTCGAACGCAGGCGCAGAAAATGCTGACACCCGTCTCTGATAACAGCCATAAACAAATAAATGTCCCTTGATTTTTATTTATCAATTTTTAGAATGCAATTTCAGGCCTCACACACACACGCGCGTACACTTTCAGATTCTAGCGCCCCCTGCGACGAGCGGTACAGTTAAAACAATGATAAGTCAGGCTGCAAACGGCAGCTGCCACAGATGCGTTCTGATTATGTTTCTGGAAACCTTTTTTGGGGTGGAAGTGCAGAGCCGTAGCCCTCAGCTGGGGTTCACTTACAATGTGCTCGCGTACTGTATTGTGAAACAATTGCAGTTTGAGATCGGTGACTTCCTCCTCCTCCTCGTCCATGTTCAGAAGGAACGAGGATAGCTTATCGCTTGTGGCCAGTTTTGTTTATTTTATTTAAAATCACTTCACAACAAAATGTATGACTTGGACATACACCAAGTTTGGACAGGCGGAGATTCCTTCGCAGAAATTGAATTCCTATGGGTAGCTAATTTCACTTTTTTTTCCCGTGACGACACACACGCACCGCACGACGACGCACAACAAAAACGATTACAACAAAGGGGGGGAAAAAGGGCACGCGCTGTTCTAGCTTTAATTTTGTAACTTAAGTGTTGACTATTTCACTTGACTGGAACGCACTGGCTGACTTTGTATGTATGGTAATAAAATTAGATAGATTTTCTCAGCCGCATTTCATCCGCTCCGAGTTTGCAGGGGCGCCCGAATTTATTTTAATTTGCGCCCGAATAACGACCGAACTGCCGCAATACAATTTATCAACAAAACCGTGCGAGGCTAAGGGAAAAATACCAAGCAAGAATATCGTAAATACCAAACCTGTGGTGCTATTTCAGCTTATTTCAGGCTAGATTGGCTTCGCAGATGTGGCATTTTTAAAAGTGGAATAGCTTATAAAATTAGAAAATAAATTATAAGCTGTTTAAATGTATATTTAATCTCTTCTGGATTTTATATTTATATATTTATCTATTATTTTGAAAAAATGTGAATGTGAGAAATGCCTAAAATAAGTTATAAGCTACATTTTAGTGATGTTTGGATGGTTCATGGTACGAGTAGATTCCACAACTGCGACTTACCATTAAAATATTTGTATTTAACTTTAAAAAATGCAAAAAATAAATGTAAAGAGGAAATGGACGATTGCATTAAGTTATCGCTGGTACAATAAAATCACTAAATCCACACAGTTTTCTATATTTGGGGTGTATTTGGCTTAGCTAAATTTTAGGTGGAATTATTTTTCGTCTTAGCCATTTTTAGCATATTGGCACTGTAAACACCAATAACTAGTATGTTACTAAAATACCAAAATATGAACCGCTGAAGATTTGTTGTGTCTGTACTGCTGCTCTAAATATGAATGTCTGTATTTAAGGCTTGCAATCTTTTATTCCATGCAGCAACATATATTTAATTTAATGTTTCCCAAAAATAATCCAATTAAACTTTTTAATTTTCTGTCGAATTAATACCAGAATTAATACCATACATACCGTATACAAATCAAAATCAGCTGTGACATTTTTAAAATGTCTAAATTTGCGGCAGCAGGTAGATTAAACGTAAAACCACATATAAACCAATCTTAATCCTTCAATTCTAGGTTCTCAGCGTCTTCAAGAAGCTCCATCGCACGCGGCAATACGTGTTTGATGGCGACGTTCGGGCCCTAGAAATGGCGCGTAAGAAAATTAACGACGAATTCCGGGGGAACCGAATCGTGACAGACCAGGAAGTTATTCAGAGCGTATGTTATGGAGTTTTTCCTTGATTTTGTGTCCTTTCTGATTTCCCCTACTTACAGAAGATCAAACTTGCGGAGGAATGTGCCCACGAGCTGCGCTCGAATGTGATTCAGGCCCAGCAACGAGAGGACGGCGTATATGGTGGGTTGCCATTATATAAACATTACCATGCCGCTGTGTATATTAAAATTGAATGTTTTCAGAGCTCCGCATAACGCCAGAGACTACGCGAATGGACAATATAGTCTTCAATCCGGATGCCATCATTGAGCCGCCACGAAAACGACGCGGGGCTAAGGCCACAGAAGGCTGCTGTGGAGGCGCTGCGATGGCGGCGCTTGATGCGGAGGTGGCGGCTCCTAAGAAATAGAATTAGAAACATTTTAGATGTAGATGTAATCAAAATCCTGTGTATGTTAGAGTCGAGAAAATCGCTTTATTTTATTTGCCATGGTGTCTCTTTTTTGATTTGTGTTTGCTCTTCGACTGGGCTTTCTTTTGCTTCGTCTTCTTGCTCCGCTTGCGCTTGCTACGCTCGTCCGAGGAGGAAGAGGAACTAGAGGTCTCCTCAGAGCTATCCGAGGATGTTTCATCCGAATCGCTTTCACTGTCTGACGAATCATCGCTGGAGTCTGAACTGCTGCTGGCGGCACGTTTCGACTTCTTCTTTGCTACCTTCTGGCTCTTGTGTTTCTTTTCCATGGATTCTGAGGGCTTACGTTTCCTTTCGGGACTTTTCTTGCGTTCGATCCGCTTTGAATTTCTATCTTGATTACGTTCATCGTGGTCTCTGGATTCTGGATGTCTTTGTTGGGGCCTGAAAAAGGGAATTTGATTAATATACTGACAGATTTGTAGGGTGTTCAGTCGGGAAACCTTCTGTCTGGTCCATTATCTCTGCTTCTGATGGGTTCTCTGCTTTGACCATAATGTCTTCCTCCTTGTGGGGATCTCTCTCGCCTGTGGTCGGTGCGATCTTTGGATCTAGATCTTCTTGTATCCATTCGTTGATCCCTTCGATCATTACGATCTCTGGATGATGACCGGCGGCGATCATTGAAACGTTTTCGATCGTTGCCGTCTCTGATCTGCCTCTCATTTGGGTTCCTTCGCTCGTTTCGATCCCTGGATCGGGAGCGCCGTCGATTGTCCCGATGTTCGTTCTGTTCCTGGTGCCGTTGCTCTCTTGCCTTCCGCCGTTCTGCGGAGCTCATTCGACTTCTCGGATCGTCAGGCTTCTTGCGATCCCGCTTTTCATCGGGTCTGTCTCTGTCTCTGCCCCTGCCGTTGTTCTGTGGCCTTCGATCATTGTTATCCCGCAGGTTGTCAAAGTCCAGCTTGCCGTCAGCACCCTCCACGCCACGTCCTTTGCCGCGCCACGTAACCTTCGACACGGACTGGGAGAAGTCCACGTGTATGCGCCGGTCGTCGATCAGCACATTGTCCATTTTGAAGTAGGCAGCCTCGCAGGATTTCTGCTCGTCAAACTCCACAAAGGCATACTGCAGCGAGTCTCCTGTCTTGCGATCACGTATTACCTCGCATCCCTTCACCACACCGAAGCGACTGAAGATAATCTCCAGGTCGTCGTCTGTCGTGACAGGATTGAGTTTGCACACGAAGAGTACGTTTTCCGGGGGTGCCATTTCGGCATCCGGCAAATCGCCCACGATCTCGAGTATTGTGGCACGGGCCTTTGCCTCGCGATCGGCCAGCATCTCCTGCATTTCCTCCATTGTCATGCCGTCGGTGTCGTCAATGTCCTCGTCAGCGGCGATGCGTCCGTTCTTCAACCGTTCGGCACTGGGAGAGGGCGAGCGACTGGGCGCCTGCAAGCCACGCGGATTGGGGTACGGGTCCTCCAGCACCACCGTGTGAGTTATGCGTATGTCCTGATAGGGGCGAAACTTCTCATCCACAATGGCATCGTTTAGCTGGCGGAGAACCTCGTGACCCTCCACCACCTCGCCAATGACGCAGTGGGTGCCATCCAGTGATGTCAGGTCCTCTCCCAGGGTGAAGAAGAACTGGGAGCCCACAAGGTTCTTTCCCGCGCTCACAAGCGACAGCATGCCGGCATTCAAGTGGTGGATCTTGGGCAGGAATTCGGCTTCAAAGAAGCGCTTCTGTGGGCCCTCCACAACGCCCCAAACGGAGGAGCCACCATCTCCAGCGCCGCTGGGATCGCCGGTCTGCGCTATAAATCCCTGCTGGACGGTGTGGAAGAGATTGTAGTTGTAGTACTTAAGCCGGCAGAGCTTCAGGAAGTTCAGGCATGCGATGGGCCGTTCGGTGGTAAATAGATCGACGGTCAGATCGCCCAGCGTGGTCTCAATCACCACGGACATGATGCAGTTTCTCAATAATCAGCAAAAAACACCCATAGAAAACAGAAAATTCTTCACAAAAACACCCCAAAGATGGGCTAGTGGTGGAACATGAATATATCGGTTGGCTGCTATCGATATGTTTACACGGTAATAATACTGCAAGTCTTATTAGTATTTCTACAATTGATCCCCTTTCAATGCAAATACATGATACGATCAAACATGAATCAATTAGCGGGACTAACTGATTACGTCAGTTCTACCACTTTCGTATAAAAAAAGGAAAAATAATTCCTTGAATTGAGTATTTTCGGAGCTGGTCCTACTAATCCAAATATCGATATATTAATTTCAGAACTATAATCGTCGCCATTTTCATTTTACTTCCGACTTCATTTGTGTGTATCAGAGTCTGACTTGTCTGGGATTTTCACACGTTGTGAAAACGAAATAAATTATTCACAAGAATTGAATTTGGTTTCGGTTTATAAGTGCATCCAGCGTATCAAAAGTGATTAGATAGTGACTAAGTAATTAAGTGCACGTCAAGATGCCCGAATTAGGCAAGAAAGTAGCCGAGTTGCGCGTATGCGACTTGAAAGATGAGCTAGAAAAACGCAAGCTGGACACTTTGGGTCCAAAGGCTGCGCTCATCGATCGCTTAGAAAAGGTAAAGTATACATATACCCGCCCCCATTTATTCTTCAGTGCACAAAGGAAATCCGTTTAGAAGCTAGAAAAAAAAATGGTTGTGCAATTTCTTGTGTGTGTGTGTGTGCGTGCGTGCGTGTGTATGTATTTTATGTTTGTGTGTTGTATTTTTCCAGGCACTAAAAGAGGAGGGTCACGACCCGGCCAGCCATTTGATTGTGCCGGGTGCAAAGGGCAAAAAGAGCATGCCAGTGCCCATGTCCGAAAATGAGAGTGGAGTCAAAATCAAGGAGGAGCCTGTCGATGAAGACGAGTCCATGGGGGCAGGCTTTGAGAATGGTGATGACCTTTCCCGCCATGCCGAACAGGATGGCCACGAAATAGATCAGGTGGGCGACGTCGACGATGTCTGTGTGATTCTTGACGATGACGAAGAGGAGGAGGAATACGACGAGGACCAGGAGCAGCACGGCGAAGGTGAAGGTGATGCTGATGGCGAGCCCGAGGACGCCGCAGAAGAGGGCGATAACAATGGCGAGGTCGAGCCTGCCAATGAAATTCAAGAGGAGGAGGAGAACACCGGCGACACGGTGAACCTGGACAACGACGAGTCCATCAATCTAACAATTGGTGAAGACGAACAAAAACTGCTGCATGATGAGGTGACATTAAATAAATTGAATCACTTATTCAATTAAATTTTCCTAATCCAATTTGCATTGTGTTCTCCCAGGCTCCAGATGACAAATCCATTAAGTCGGGTGAGTGTAGGAGCATTTCGGCTGAATCCACGCTTAAATATAAGATTAAGATTCAAGACCTAGTAATTTATGGGGGAAAACTCTTTAATTGACAGTGAAACCGGCCAATAAATCAGATAAGAACAACTCGAAGGACGCCGATAAGAAGAATGACAAGAAAAAGGATGATAAGTCCGCTGATAAGAAGGACACCAGGTTAGTGTCTACCGAAATCTAAACAGCTCGATTCAACCCTAATTTTCCCCTTCTAATGAAATTGTTTTATTCCCTTCTAATGACTTTATTTTATTATTTTTCAGTGATCAGAAGTTATCCTCAAAGTCGTCCAGCCAAAAGGATGATAAAGGTAAATTAAGTTAGGGTTTCCGCATGGATAGGTCCAGTGAAATTCGGAAAGTTACATGTTGGGAATGGGGATTGCTTGGGCCAAGCAAGATCCTAGTTTAAGGTTCGATCAAATATGTGAAAGAGTTTCGTGCAAGAGAGTGTGAATTTGGTTGGGCCAACAGGGAGTGAAGGCCCGACCCCACGCCCCCACACGCATGATGAGGACAGGACTTGTGCAACGGAGCAGCGATGGATTCCCCGGAGACACCTGAGCATCATTTCTGAGGCAGAGAGAGTGTTTGTTCCATGAAAATGAAGAGAAAACACATCCAAAAGAATCGATGGCAGCTTTGATTCTGAAATGACAACGACTGACAGTGAATCAAAGCTTCGAATGGAGACCAACTACTGCTGCTGGCACCACCACTCCATTTGGCATCTGGACTAGCAGAGAGATGTGGCATCTGGAATATAACTCCTGTCACTCGCAGCAATCGGAATCAATCGAGAAAGGAACGAAGCAGAGCACAAAGGAGTTTCCAGCTACGAGTAATTTCCCCTCAAAGGACACACACACACAGACATGGCGCAGGAATGCAGATGCAAAGATCAAGGGTAACGTTACTCTCTTCCCAGGACTTCCTGTTCCACCCACAGACGAAGACGAATGCAGCGCAGCAGCAACCCAAACAAATTCACACTCTCTTTGCTTCCTTTTTCCTGGGGCGACGGGGTGGTGTCTCTATCGAAGAAAGTCTCGTGATGTTAACGATTACGATTACCTTACGCTCTAAACTCCAACTCCACCAACACCAGCCAGCTACAAAAGATGTGTGTGTGTTTGCCAAAATGCTTCCCTTAAAGATCGTATCATAAACCAAAAACGTTAACCGTTAACCAGTTACAGCCACTCCTCAAAGCTCTGACCATAACACTCTCTTCCAATATTATTATTTACATGGAACTTGCAGAGAAATCAGCGACAGCAGCCGCTGGGGCAGCTTCGTCCGCCGCATCGAGTGCCGCTGGCAGCAAGTCCGGATCCGGTTCGGGCACGGGATCGGGTGCTGCCGGATCTGTGGGGGCAACATCAACATCCTCCGCGTCCAACAGCAAGCCAACGACGCTGTCACGCAATCTCTGGGTCTCCGGCTTGTCCACCCTCACGCGGGCCAGCGACCTCAAGGCGATCTTCTCCAAGTTCGGCAAGGTGATCGGTGCGAAGGTCGTGACCAACACTCGCACCCCGGGCACCCGCTGCTACGGCTATGTGACCATGTCCTCGTCGGCAGATGCCTCGCGGTGCATTGAGAATCTGCACCGCACCGAGCTGCATGGACGCATCATTTCGGTGGAGCGCACCAAGAACGAGATC